AAGGGGTCCCATACGTTCGGGCGTTCGGGTTCGGGCGTTCGGCCCGTCTCGAACACCGGTTACCCTGCTGATAGTAGCATTTCGTTTTATCTGAAAATCTCTGATATTAGCATTTCGTTCTAAATAGCCAAAAAATTCTGATATTTTTAGCATTTCGTTTTCTAGGCATATTGGGATAAACGACAGAGGTTGTCATATTCTCGGAAACTGGATTTATTCTTCTCTGAAAGTGGAACCTCATTCTATTTCGCGCAATTTTTTTTTTCAAGATCGCATTTTTTTTGAAAGCCGAAACTTTGCGGAACCTTGCCTATTCCCGCTCAAAGTACTCCTCCGAAATTCCTCACTCATAGCAGATCGGCAGATATACAAAAAAAAAAGAGGGGGGGGGTGATCCTCTTCTTTTATTTTTTATTTTATTCTGTTGATTAGGACCGGGAGGAAAGTACAGTTTGGTTGGTTACCGTCCTACGTTTTCCCTCCCGCGCAACCCTTTGCCTGCATTCCCGGTTTGGTAAGTGCCACGTCAGGAGTGTCATGTCAGCAGCAGTGCCACGACAGTAGCAGTGCCACGACAGCAGCAGTACCAACGTCCGCAGTGCCCCGCCACCAGGACGGGTTCATCATTGGGCATGACAGGCCAACTGGCCGGCTCGTCCATTTACGAGTACCATCAGCGGTTTCTAGCTCAGCTCGCACTGGTGGAGGCTGACGTACAGCGCCAGGCGGCAGCTGAGGCTGCCCACCTACAGGCTGAAGCAGAGGCAGCAGCTGAAAAGCAGCGACTGCAGGCCGAAGCAGAAGCAGATGCCCAGGCCCTCCGCAGGGAGGCCCAAGAGCTGCTGCAGCGGCACGAAGCCACCAGCATCGACAAGCTCAAGTTCTGGCATTTTGAACCAACCGCCGGCCACGACAACGCAACACCGGAAGAGCAGCACAAGGAGTTTTTCTCCAAACTCGTGGCACGGTTGGTTTACACTTGTAACCACCAACAGTCCGAGTTAGAGAAACAACACCAGGAACTGGCGAAACAGCACCAGGAATTGGTGAATCTCCGACGGGCAATGCAGAGCCACAAGGATCTGCACGAGGATGCTACACGGGCACTTCATTCCCATGTACAGGACTTGGAGCAGGCCGCACCAAGACCAGATGCTGGCGAGTCCCGCAGTGCACCCTCTACCCGCCAATTGGAGAAATGAGTTGATCATGTAGTCACAATGCTCGGCGACATCAGCACCTTCGCCGCACCAGCCACCATCAGCGAGCAGCTTGGCACCTTGCAGACCGAACTGAGGCAGCTGCACCAGCCGCCCCACAATGATCACATCACATCAAAGCACTACAAGATGCCAACACTCAGGATCGAGAAATTTGACGACTATACACATCAGGACCCAGTCGTCTAGTGGGACGGTTTTACAACGGAGCTTCGGATTCACGAGGTCCCCGAATATTTGTTCGTCTTGGCACTGTTCCTCAACGTCAAGGGTGGATGCGAGATCTGGCTCAGCCACATGGCAACCATCCACGACGTCCAAGTCCACCATCTATACCAGAAAATCTCCTGGGAAGATTTGACGAGAGAATGGAATAAGCGGTTCATCGTCGTCGACGCCCCGACGCTCGCCATCAACCGCCTCTTCACCATGACCCAAGGCAACACACAGACACGCGATTGGCTCATAGAATGGCAAAAGATCGTGGCATTCCCGATCTCCAGTTGCCATTTTTGCATCTGCGCCGAGAGATCTACAACCGATCGTGTGGCGCCTTGAGTCTCGCACTCGGTGATCGCGAGCAATACACGACCTTTGCCGAAATTATCGACAAGGTGCGAGAGATCATCAACCGGGCTGCTGCACACGAGAAGTCAGCATGGCAGCCAGCCTATGTGGAGAAGGGAAAATTTGGTCCGCGTCCGCAGCATGTCACTGCAGTCCAATCGGACACCATTGTGGAAGACCCAGCAGCCACCCAAGCATCACGTGAGGGAGATCATGTGGCCGCTGTCCAACCGTGAAGCAACAGCAACTCCCGAGGAAAAGGGAAGGAGAAAACCGCATCGCTGGCCGGAAACGGACAGCCAGTACCATGGGTCAAGTTCAACTTGACCGAGGCCGAATACAAGTACCGCAGTCAATAGGGCTGGTGCAACATCACCAAGCACAAGACCTCCCACTGCCCGGATCAAGGCAAGGAGGATGTTCGGCCTCGCATCAACTCGGGAAATTGAGTTGCGCGGGAGGTGAGGCGACTCCACCTCTCACTCCGCCAGATTCGGCCGCCTTGCTAGCGGCCTCCTACACATCTGGGGAGGATGTGAATGTCGCAAGTCGTCGGTTCACTTACGAGGATTATGCTGTCCACTTGGTCCCACCGTTGGACCAACCACTCCAAGTGCAACAATCCACTGCATGCACGGTTTCACCACCATCAACAACCGATTTGGCAGCTTCGCCGCCATCTATCGCCGGGATTCGACGTCATGGTCAAAACTTGAAGAGCTCGACCCGTTGACGTTTGCGGACTTCCAATGGATGCCCCTTCCCCCGTCCGCTCGATTGCCGAAACCACATTGCAACGTGCTCAAGGCACAATTGCGGGATTACTTGCACACTGCAGTACCAGCTCCATTGATGGACGTAGAGGTTGTTGACCTTCACGACTACATTGCGAAGATCGACCGCGAGTTCAAGACACAACGGTACGTCGACATAGATGCACCATTGTTGTACATACGCATTCAGATCGGAGAGGCGACCTGTCGCGCTTTGATCGATTACGGAGCTACTCGCAATTATATCAGCCAAGACTTTATGATACGCGCTGACCTTGGGCCACGCATTCGGAGGAAGTCACAGCCCACGCAAGTCACGTTGGCCGAAAGTCAAACGCACAAGTCAATCGACCGATGCATTGATTCCGTCCCCGTGTACTTCGCCCCGCATGCAAGCGAGGCCGTGTCCTTCGACATTTTGGACACTCAATTCGACATGATCTTGGGCATGTCATGGCTGCGAAGCGAGGATCACCCGGTGAACTTCTACCGCCGCACCGTTCACGTTTGTGATCGGAACGCAGTACTAGTCCCATGCACGGTGGCTCCTCCTCACCCTCCGATCAGCTGCCACGTGGTGTCCGCCGCAAGCATTCGAGCTTCCATCACCAGGGATGGCATCGAGGAGATGGGGGTGTGTTTTCTCCACGCCCTCCCGCCCCATGACATTCTATCGATGGACTCATCACTGGACCCACGCATCATCGAGCTTCTCGACGCCTACGGCGACGTGTTCGAAGCCCCGCATGGAGTAGTACCGGATCAGCCCATCCTCCACGAGATCAGCCTCGAGGAGGTTGTCGTACCTCCGCGTGGTTGCATCTACCCCATGAGCGAGGAAGAGTTAAGTGTGCTACGGGCACAACTCGACGACGTTCTCGAGAAAGGCATGATTCGGCCTAGCTCTTCGCCATACGGTGCTCCCGTTCTCTTCGTCAGGAAGAAGAACAAGGATTTGTGGTTGTGTATCGATTATCCCAAGCTCAACGTGCAAACCGTCAAGAACGTCGGCCCTCTTCCACGCATCGACGACCTCCTCGAACGGTGGGGTGGCGCCAAGTTCTTCTTATCACCAACTCGAGATCCGGCAGGAGGACCTCTACAAGACCGCGTTTAAGACGGAAAATGGGCATTTCGAATAGTTGGTTATGCCTTTTGGCCATACGAATGCCCCGACCACATTCCAAGCGGCTATGACAACGGAGTTCCGACACATGCTGGATAAATTCGTACTCATCTACCTCGACGACATCTTGGTGTACAGCCGGAGTTTGGACGAGCATGTGGAGCACATGCGCACCGTTTTGGAGCGGCTACGACAAGCCAAGTACAAAGCCAACCACGACAAATGCGAATTCGCGCGGCAAGAGCTGGAGTACTTGGGACATTATGTGACGCCGCAAGGCATCCGTCCGCTTGCGGACAAGATCGAGGCCATCCCTCGTATGGCCCGAGCCCACCAACCCCATGAACGTTCGCTCATTCATGGGGCTGGTGGGCTACTACCAACGTTTCATCACCAGGTACTCAAGGATTGCTGCACCTATGACGAGATTATAGTCGCCAAAGGTGCCATTCGTATTCGATGACGACGCACGCCGGTCATTCCAAGCACTCAAGACGGCGATGCTCATGGCACCCGTCCTTAGCATCTATGACCCCACCCTGCCAACGAGAGTGACAGCTGACGCTTCCGGCTATGGCATTGGGGCAGTCTTGGAACAACACAACGGCGACGACTGGCACCCCGTGGAGTATTTCGGCCACAAAGTGCCTCCCATCAATTCACTTGATGATGCAAGGAAGAAGGGGCTGCTCGCGTTCGTGATGGCTCTCAAGCGATGGCGGCACTTCCTCCTTGAGCGTCGTAGGTTCACATGGGTCACTGACAACAACCCATTGACCTACTACAAGACGCATGATACGGTGAGCAGCACGATCGGACGATGGATGTACTTCATTGACCAATTTGACTTCAAACCGAAACATCTCGCCGGCCTCTCCAATCGCACAGCAGATGCACTCTCGCGAAGACCTGATCTTTGTGCTATGACACATCATGCCTTCGCGTTCGACAAGGAACTCCAGCGACACTTCATCGGGGCTATGAGTCCGATCCGGATTTCGCCATGTTGTATGCGCAGCTATCTTCGGATCACCCACCGGCCAGCCACTATCGCGTCGTCGAAGGGTACTTGCTCCTCCACTCGCGAGGCAAGGACTTATTGTGTGTCCCACGAGACCGTCGTTTTCGGACTCGCCTTCTCGGCGAGTACCATGACTCGCGACTCGCTGGCCATTTCGGAGTCAATCGCACTATTGCACGACTTCGACAACGATTTCGATGGCCCGACCTCATTACCGATGTCACTCGGTATTGTGACTCTTGCAAAGTTTGCCGACGAAGCAAGCCCCGCAACCGCAATCCCTACGACGAGTTGCGCCCGATGCCTATCCCACGGGAACCCGACCTCTCCATTACCATGGACGTCACCGGTCCGTTTCCCCGCGACCGCCTCGGGCACGACGACATCCTTACGGTCGTTGACCGTTTGAGTAAGTACGCACAATTTCTTCGTTGGAAGTACTATGCCACAACTCTGATAGCCCGACCTCATTACCGATGTCACTCGGTATATGGCCCGACCTCATTACCGATGTCACTCGGTATTGCGACTCTTGCAAAGTTTGCCGACGAAGCAATCCCCGCAACCGCAATCCCTACGGTGAGT